TGGCGGCGGGGGCAGCGGGGTCGTCAGCACCGTGGTCCAGCCCTACGACGTGGAAATCCGCCGCGGTGAAAACGAGGGGTTCGGCTTCGTCATCGTCTCTTCTGTGAGCCGGCCGGAGGCGGGGACAACATTCGGTAAGTCTCGGGGTTTCTTTTTCTTCAGCGCGCCTCAAATGAGACGTGGATTTGCGCGCTGCAGCGCGAGGAGGCGGGTGGGGATCTGTTTAATTAAAAGTCATGAGCGTGCCCTAATTTACGTAATTAATAGCTTAATCGGAGACCAAGACTTAGTAGGTGTTTGCCTCCTGGGTTTGTTCGGCACTGAGAAAAGCAAATGAGTAATCCCAACCCGAAGAGCAAAAATGCCAGTGATGGCAATTCCTGATGCTCCCTGAAGCTCCAGCTCTCCCTGCTAGCTGGATGCCTTTCTGGGGTTTGCTCTCAGAAGAGCAGCCGGGGGGATCCCCCAGTGATGCTGCTAATGCAGAAATGGAGCAGGTGGAATGAAATATGTCTCCTGCTGGTGGAACTGAGCCCGTTGTTTTCGAAGCGGTAATGCTTAAACTGATTAACTTCTCTTTGGCAATCAGGGTTATTCTGATCCTCATTATGGAGTGAGCATGCTGATAGCTGGAAAGTTTTAATTAATAGTGCTTGCTGGTGAGACATAAAATGGAGAATACTGTTAAAAAAACATCCTGGTTTTTTGACCCATTCCACCTCTTCCCAAATCCGTTTCTTTAGAGTAAGGGTAAATTAGGTTCGTGTGATGTCGCGCTTAATATCCTGCCCTAATAGAAGTGGTCATGGTTTCTTTCTGAAGACAGTGGGTTCTGCTAGGTAGATACCCACTTCCAGTGTTGCTGCAAAAGAGTTGAGCATAAACTAGTTTTTCAGGTGTGCACAGAACAGCCTGCTCTAGAACAGAGATGTCATTGCAAGGGGGAAGCCCGTCAGAAACTCACTTTTCTTCCCTTTCTGTCTCTGCCAGAGGCAGCACCCGCTTATACTTTGTAGGGGGAAAAAGGTGTTCCCTGCCTGCTAGTCTGTGGCGTGGAATAGGGACAGAGGGGGAAAGTCAGAACATGTGCCTTGGCCATCCTCACACAAGCTTTTCAGAGCAGGGGTGTGGTTTGCAGACAAAATACATTACAGTCTCCCTGTACTGCGTGAGTGTTCCTGGGGCACAGAGATCCAGGTGGCAAGAAGTAGCCTTTCCCCCTTTTTTCTAGGCTTTTTTTTTCTGAAATTTCCTGCTATTGTCCATCAGCAATGCCCTTACTAATACACCAAGGGAGCATCACTTCTTTTGCTGGTATTGACATAGAACACGCCATTTCTAACATTGTTCTGATGTGCCTGATATAGACCTGGTGCATCAAGTTCTGTCAGTTCTCAGGTGCTCACGCTGTCCTCACTGCTGGAAACTGCTCTTCCAGAATAGGTATTTTGGTGCCAGAACACAACGGTTTAGTGCAACGTAAATGAAGCTGAACTCAGTCTAAACTGAAGAGATAGCTTTTATCTTCTGAAAGTATTTGCAAAAGTGTGTGTAAATTACTGTATGAAGACTATGCTCTAACTCTTTTCTGCAGAGAAACCTTGACCTGAGGTTGTAAGGAGTTGTTTGCTTTAGCCCAAGATACTCACTAACTGGAAGTTTTCTGTGCAGGGGCTCCTCATGGAGATCTCTTGATCTGTGACTGTTTTTCCTTTAATTTCTTTCAAGTATATTCAGCTTTTTCCTAATACTCTGCATGAGATGTGTTCCCTCTGCTGCGTGGTGCTTGCTTTGGACCTGCTTTGTAGATTTTTTCTTTCATGGGTAGCATTTAGAGATGGGCCAAACTGGTTCTAAAATCCACCTGGGTCACTTTGGTGTGGGCTCTGTCATCTGTGTTCAGTGGATCGGTTAGAGTAGGAAGTCATATCCACAAAACAGCCTTTAAACTCGATGGGGTTTTGTACTGCCCAAAAAAAAAAAACAAAAGGAGAAACCGCAACACTTTCTAACATCACAGTAAAAAGAAAAATCCTCTACCATTTGCAACTAATATTAACACTTTCTGCCAGTTGTCATTGCATCTTTCCAACCTTGTTCTTTCACCTCACATTCCTTTTTTTAGCCTTTTCTTCTTTATGGTCTTTCTAGTGTTGTCGTGTGTTCAGCAATGTGTATCTCTAAAACTACTAATCAAATAAAGACAACAGCACAGATAGGAATGTGCATTTTGAGGGTGAATGTATTGTGGATGCATAGTGTGAGATGACCTCTCTGTACACCTCATGGTTTTAATCCCGTGGTGCATGCCCGAGGACCTTACACAAAAGCCGTAGAAAAGCTTGGTGGACTTAACAGTGTTGCATATTCCCTGCATTTTAGGGATGATCCTGTGGTTTTGGGGCAAACAATTGCATGGAACAGGAGGAGAATTTTATCTCCGAAGCACATTCATCCTAAAGTGCTCTTGCTCTGTACGTCAGACATCTCAATGGTTTTGTGTGTGATTTTAGAGGTATTTAAATGAGGAGGTCCTTGTTCCTTCCCTGCTCCCATCCTGATGCCATCTAAGATCATAAAAGGGGAAGGGTTAATGGAGGCTGAGGTGGATGCCTGCACCAAACAAGTTACCTTTGTCAGTCTTGGCCCATCTGCGGTGGTCCTGTGCCTTCCCTGGTAGTACCTTTATTCGTGATGGAAGGAAACCGTTTCATGTTTCTTCCCCTTGCAGCGCTGATAGAGCGGCTCTTCGTGGTAGAAAGGAAGTCGCGCTTCCTCCCAGGCCTAGAACAATTTTATCTTTCTGAATTGAGAAAGAACAAAACATTGGCAGAAGCTTGAACAGCAGTTGACTTAGAGATGGACTGGAGAAGCTGAGACCTCGGTGTAATCTTGGAGGAGGAAGGTTGTCTTTTCTACAGACAATTTCGAATTTTCTCTTTGAAAATAAATCCAGGATTTGGGTTCCGATGGGCTGCTAAATGCAGTTGTAGTCTATAAAAATCTCACAGTTCGTGAACAGAAACCAAGTTGGGGGGGGTTTTCAGTGATTAACAAAACACCATTTTTATAAAGAAGTAAAGTACTGTGCACTCATACTAGTTGATCGCCAATGTTTTGAACACTGGCAGCAAAGCTATCCTATAATAACTTTTGCTTGATGCATTAATTAATTAACCCTTAACCTTCTCTT